TCGGTGCTGGGGCGCGACGCTCCTTGGTCAACCCCTTACTCCCCTCTCCCTACGCGCCCCCCCCCAGACAGACTGGGGTCCTGGAACTGGCCCCCCCTCCATCTCAGGATGGCCGCAACCGCTGACTCAGATTTGCGGGGCTGGAGCCGGTCACGGGGAGGGGCTGCGGTCACCATGGCGGGGGCTGATGTCCAGCCGTCCTAACCCACCCGAGCTTCCCCGCTCCGCTGAGGACGGGGGATGTGCGAGGCTAGACACCGCGGCCCTTCTGGACGGTCCAGGCCGCAGTTCGCCCCGCCGGCCCCCCAGTCGTCCGGGTCAGCGCAGACCCCACAGGAGGACCCCGGTCCGCCACGGGGCTCCCCTCCATACACTCCTCCTGCACACGCACCTGCACACCCGCACACCCGCACACCCGCCTACCGCCGCCCTCAACCCCACCCCCAGGGCTTCATAGGGATAAATGTGGAAATGGCTCACAAGCGGCTCCAACGCGCTGCTGCGGCAGAATGCGGTCTCCGGAGGAGGATGCGGTTCCAGACGCTTCGCAGCCGCAGTCGGGGTGGGGCGGGGGAGGGGCCGACAGCCTCACACCCCCTCCGACGCGTGCGCGCGCGCACACACCTCACGCAGGGCACAGCGCTCTGGCCAGCTGAGGCCTGACTGCTCCTGCACCTGGGCGTGTCGGGGCTCTCAGTCCTGGATTCGGTCAGGCTCTCAGACTCTCCCTCCCGCCTGCCTTGGTCAACTGGGTTGAGATCCAGCTGGGTTTGGCCCCCACCCACTCGGAGGAGGGCCTCCTTCTCCTGTTTCAGCGTCTGGAGCTCGGGGCTGCACGCTTTCCTTGGGTAAGCCAGTCACGCCTGGTCACTGTTGCCCCGGCACCTGCTCGGTGCTGGCAGAGAAGGCGCTCAGCAGGTGTTTGGTGAGTGTCATGGGAGACGTGACCCCCCTCCCCCAAGGGCTCAGCCCTGCTCACAGCTGGAGGACAGCGGTGGCAGCAGCTGGATGAGCGCTCCACCCCTTTTGCTGTTGAATACCGTCCCATGTTCAGATGGGCCTCCTTTTATCCATCCGTCCACACAGGCCTCTGGACCGCTGCTGGTTTTGTCTGTTCATGTTGCATGGATGCTCTTGGAGTCCTTGTTCGGACACAGCTTCATTTCTCTTGGGCGGGTACCTAGGAGTGGAGTTGCGAGGTAGGATGGTAGTTCACATTTCACTTTTAAAGAAAATGCTAAAATAAAATTTTTTTCCAAAGTGGCTGCACCATGGTACATCCACCAGCCATGCATGAGGCTTCAGTTTCTCCACACACCCTCCTCAGCACTTGCTACTGTCTGTCTTTTTTTTAAAAAAAATTATAGTCATCTCTATGAGTTTGCTAGTCCCACCCCCTGACCTCAGAGGAGGGGAGAGGGGCTGGAAGTTGAACCAATCACCAGGGCTAAGGATTCCATCAATCATGCCTATGTAATGAAGCCTCCATAAAAACCCGAAAGGACAGGGTTCGGAGAGCTTCCAGGTTGATGAACACATGGAGATTTGGGGGGACGTTTCCCCAGACCTTGCCCATGCATCTCTTCCATCTGGCTGTTCCCGAGTTGTATCCTTTTATAGTAAACCAGTGATCCAGTGAGTAAAACGTATCTGGGTTCTCTGAACTGCTCTGGCAATTTGGTCCAACCCAAGCAGGGGGTCATGAGAACCTCCAACCTATAGCCAGTTGGTCATTGTTATTGGTGACCAGATTCATTAAAGGCCTCAGTGCCAATACAAAATGGGCAAGCATTCATGTCACCAAAGAGTTGAACCCAACACCTTTCAGTGCATGGGACCACACCCAGCCAACTGAGCTGCAATGGCCAGGGTGATTTCCAAATATATTTCATTGTACATTTGAAATGTGTAGTTTACCATTGGTCAATCAAACCTCAATAAAACTGTTTAAAGAAAGGCCCTTGTGTGCCTGGCAGTGGCCATGGGGTCTGAGGTTGAGCCCTTGCAGTGATGGGCCCAAGACAGAGTCCCTTCCCCAGGCTGAACCCCAGATCTTCACTCAATGGGCTTGCCAGCCCCCCAGGCTCTCTGAGAGGTCAGGACACCAGCCCCCACATGGGAGCCTCTGCCAAGCCCTGAGGGACAGAGACCCAGGAGCCCCCAGTCATCCAGCTCCCACATTCACATGGCCGTAGGAAGATCTGGAGGAAGAGGGACCTCAGGGAGAGACCCTGGAGTCTGGGACAATGGCTGGCGGGAATTTCTTCCAACCTGAGACCCAGTCTGAGCATCTCGCCGGGTGCCATCAGAGACTCACAGGCTCCCTTCAGGCCAGCCCTCTGCCTGGGCAGCTCCTATCCTCCCATCCTTTGCACCACCCCACCCTCATTTCCCAGGACAGCTCAGGCTTTAGTCAGTAGGCACTCAACCACTGGGCTGAGGGACACACAGGCATGGGGCCCAGCTGGCACCCCAGGCAGCTCAAGCCCTCCACCCAGGGCCATCCTACCCCCATCCCACCAGCACCACCTCCAGACCAGCCCTGCCACCTGCCCTCCTGCCTTTGGGGCTGAAGAAAGGGCCTTGGTCCCCTCTCTAAGGGCCACCCCAGTGTCTGCAGCTGGAGGAACTGATGCATAAGCCTCCATTCCACTCAGGGCCACCTGAGTGGCAGCTGCACCTACCTCCAGTCCTGCAGTGTGCGGTCACCATAGCCCCCCAACCAGGTCCCCAGGTCCTTAGGTTGCAGGAGGGTGTCTACCTGTGTGACCTCTGGTCTCACACCCAGGAACTCACCGAGTCAAGAGGCCCAAACCTATTGGGAGGTGGAGGCCTACTTCCCATCTGAGGCTCCATCTCAGGCACCTGGGGGCTGCCCTCGGGAGCCAGCAGCCTCTCTGTGCTCTGCCTTTGTGAGTGAGAATGGTACTGTTGCTTAAAACTTTGGACTGAACATTGACACTTTTCCATATTTCTTTTTAAAAAATATTTTTTTTATTGATTTTAAAAAGAGAGGGAGAGGTAGAGGGATTGAAACATTGATGAGAGAGAAACTTCAATCAACCACCTTCTGCATGCACCCATTGGGGATTGAGCCCGAAACCCAGGCATGTGCCCCGACTGGGAATAGAACCAGTGACCTCTTGGTTCAATCATTGAGCCACACCGGCTGGGCTCCATCATTTTTCAGATAGAGGGAATTCCAGCCAATCAGCAGCCCCCCAAAGACCTGCCAGTCACGCGCCCTGGCTGGGTGAGGTCTGCGTGCTGCCAGGAGGGCAGGGCCTGCTGGTAGTGTTGTTGGGCTCAGGGGTCCTGATTCCTCACCCATCTAGAACAGGGCTTCAGGGGCCAGCACCCCCTTCTTGAGGATGAGGTTTCCGTAGAGGGCCGTCTCCCTGCACAAGGAGCTGAGCTGAGCCCAGAGCCGAGCCCAGAGCTGAGCCAGGGTGCCCAGACCCCTACTGTGCACCACCGCTGGACAGCTCAGTGACCCCACTCCCTGGGGACCATCTGTCTCAGGGGGGCAGGGGCCGAGCAGAGGGTGGGGGAGCTCTGGAGTGGGGAGAGGGAGGGCCTCACACTCAGCCCAGACCCAGTTGGACCCAGGCAACCCATCAGGACCCAGTGGATCCAGCCAGAACTCACCCAGTTGCTACAACAGCAAAAGCCTTCTTGGCTTGCTGATAAAACTCAAACCTCTCTATCTTCTCAAGGGGGCTCTGGAAGGCAAACCAATGTGGTTGAGGGACCCTGCCCAGAAACCCCATGGGCCCAGCAGGGGCATCAGGAGGCATGGTCTCTCTGAGCTTCATTTCTCTGGTTCTCCAGGCCAGGGTCCCAAGGATGCTCAGCCTCCTACCTGCAAGGACCAGGCACTGGGGGTGGGGTGGGGGGTGAGTGGGAGGGAGGCAGGCTGTGGTGGGTGAGATGCCTGCTGTGCTTGGTGGCCGCCTGCCTGGGACCCCTGAGCCCCTCTGATCTGCCCCAGGGGTGGGGTAGGGGAGCCACTGTCCAGGACAGGAGCCCCAGGTGTCCTCTCTTCAGGTAGGTCCTACCCAAGACCTGCCTGTGTGGGTGGTCCCGGGAGGACAGGCTCAACCCCTTGCAGGGTGGGATGGCGTCGGGGGTGTCACACAAAATCAGACCAGGCCTCTGACCACAAGATGGGGGCCTGGGGTACCCTACTTGCCCTGGCTCCACTTGGAGAGGCTGGGATGGGTAAGGGCCCCTAGGCAGACAGGTCAGGATCCTGGGAAAACATAGGAAGCTGGGGGCCGGAGGGTGGTCCCACGGTCACGCTCCCACTGCGGGTGAATAGGCGCTCACACAACCATGGGGCAGAGTTTGGAGCCTGTCCTTCCTTCCTCCCAGGCCTCCAAGGAAGCGTAGAGGGTCCCAACCCCGTTCTCGGGGGCAGCAGGCTCACCGAGCAGCCAGCCTCCAAGAGGATGGACTGGTAGCTCTTCCACACCGGGGTCTGGAGGCCCCTCTCCTTGTCACTGGACACCAGCTCCATGACAGCAGCCTGGGACAGAGGGGCCAGTCTGTCCCTGGGTGCCTCCAGGCCCCCCTTGTTGGGTGATGGTTAGGGCTCTTCTGATCAGGGTTAGAACCCTTTGAGGACACATGCTCCCCCCCCCCCCCCCAAGGCAGGTGTGCCCTCTGAGGTCTGGAAAAGGGGCCCTCACCGGACTCTCCACATAGGTGTCCAGTGGCAGCAGCTTCAGCACGGCCTCCAGGAGCTGCGGGATGCCCAGGCCTGAGGGCAGAGTGCTGGCCTCAGACTCCAGCCCTTTGAACCCAGGTGCCCACAGCACCACCTGGTGGCTGGGCCTGGCCACACGGTCTCACTCAACCATCAGGGACCGACTTGGGCCCAGGATAGAGGGGCCACAGGCCAACTGCTGCCCCCCTGGTGACACTCATGGAGGTCACACTGGTGTCTCCTCACCCTGGCCGCTGCACCTGGCACTGTCCTGGCACTGGGCCAGCCCTGACCATCCCCTTCACTCTGCACCATGCAGGTTGTTGGAGGTACCCTCAAAATCTATCCACCAGGAGGAGCGCCCTGACATCTCCTTGACCCCAGAGGCTGGGAGTTGCCACCTTTAGCCTGTGACAAGGACAGTGGGGTCTGGGAAGAGGCCTCTTTTGCCCAAGGTGCCCCCAAACCTGTCCCACTTGGCTCCCAGGCCCGCGCTCTCCCATAAAGTGAGTTTCTGGTTGTTAAAGTAACACCTGCTCATTGTACAAAATTGGGAAATACAGAAGCCTATGAAAAGGAACCGGCTGTAATCTTACCACATAAAGGAAACCTGCTGCCATCGAAGCTCATCTTCTTCTGCACGATTAGACTTTTCTGCCTGTTTTTGACTCTGAATCCTAATTGCTTGTTCTCCACTAATGCGCACGGTGTGTGTGTGTCACTTTTGGTGGCTGCACTGTGATTTACTTAAACACCCCTTATGTTCCAGCTTTTCCCACGGCCCACCTGGTCCCACCCTCCTCGGGAAGGAGAGCACCTGGTCACCTGGCCCAGGATCTAACCAAGGCCGGCTGGTTCAGCTCCCTGAGTGGGGAGTGGTAGCCA